CCACTACACACTTCCCTCCATGTAGATGTGGTTCCATTGAGGACCACTCGCTGAGTACGGCCAGTCAGCCAGCTACGGATCCATCTGGTGGTGATGCTGTCTACCCCACATTTTTCTATCTTGTCAAGTAGTAGGTTGTGATGTACTTTATCAAATGCCTTACTGAAGTCCAAGTAAATTATATCCACAGCATTCCTCTTATCCACTAATTTTGTCACTTGGTCAAAGAATGCAATAAGATTTGTCTGGCATGATCTATTTTTGACAAACCCATGTTGGCTTTTAGTAATGACTTTGTTATCCTAGCTGTGAGTGGGGAATTATATGAAGATAACCTGATAGAATCAGGGCATAGTTGTATCATTGGAGATGAGGATGAGTCCTTTAAAGTGGCTGTCTGGCTGTGTTCAAATAGCTTCCCATGAAGAATGATGTATCAGATCCACATATGGAAGGTCCCTTTGAATTTTCTGGGGAATGGGAAGGCTGTATATATTCTAATCCTCCTTTGACAGACCCATGAACAGATCCTAACCATCACTTTTAATACTTTTAGTAATACTGGAAATCTGACTTGACTGGGAGGCAAGAGCCATAGAAGCTTCTGTAATTGAAGAGAGGGGTCTCTGTGATTGCATCAGGCCTCTGAAGTTGAATTTTCTCTTTCTTCAGAACGTAAGTGCTCAAGCATAATATGGCCACTGGCAGGTATGCTTAGAGACATTATAATTCTGAAAAATTCAAAATACTTTTTGCCAATTTTATTTTGATACCCCGCCCCCAAAGAAACCATATGGGCTATGACTGCATTTCTCATTCCCACTGTATTCCATAGAAAAGCCTCAGAGGAGACACCCGAACCATGTAAGATGGAGTATTAGGAGGAAAAGCATTTCCTGCAATTATGCAAATGTCCACTGAGTGAGGGCAATTTCTCTCTGTCTATGGTCTCCATTCTATCTCATATAAGTGCATCTTCAGTCATTTTACAAAATCTCTTCAAAGGATTGCCTCAGGTCAGATGTTTGAATGGAAAACTTCTCTTCCATTCAGTTCTTTAAGTAAACTAAACTTGTGATTTAAAATGAAAAATGTAATATTTCTGGGGAAAAAAGAAACAGAAAAAACATATTAGACTCTTCTGAATTATGGAACAACTTTTATTGTATTTCTATTATTTTGTTATTACTACTTTTTGCTATAGTTTTTACCTGCACCTGTGTTTCTATTTGATTGGTTCCATTTTCTTTATTTTCTTCAATGTATTACATGCTAAACGACGTAGGACTGAGAAAGTTTAAGAAATGAGACAATTATTTTAATTATAACACTAGACATGAAACAAACATAGATTTTGGATTCAAAACAAAACAAAACAAAACAGCATTAAGACGTGTCCAAAGAAATGCAGTATGGGATGCGTCATGCTCTAGAATCCTTTCAACCATCAGATCTCCCAGATTAAGCCCTCTTTCTCTCAGCCCTTAAATAAATTCTCTAAGGGAGAAACAAAGCCAATACAACCATCTGCATTTCATGTTAACCTGCAAGCCACCGAAATTTCATAGAGCCACTTTTAGTGCAAACATCTCTCTTTGTTCTGCTGCTACCAGATGCTGTTGAGCTTCCTCACGAATTCTGCTTTTGTAATTTGTTCCTGGTGCCAAGAGGTGGCTCTCTAGGACAAGGGACCTTTCTGGTGAGGCGGGGAATTCAAGCTTATTAAAAGAAGGGAAGCTGGGCAAAGATATTCAGACAGGAGCAGAGTGGCAGTAGGGATGTAATCAGACAAGCATACGAGTCCCTGGTTTGACAAAGAGAGCACTGAAAAGAGGTTGGGCCAAGCACTCCCAGGCAGCCAAAGCTGTGAATGGAACCATCATGGGACTTCTGTCGTTTTGATACAATTTTATCTAGGCTTTGACTAAGGATCCAGGAGAAAGAGAGCAAACCGCTTCTGTACCATCTGGATTAGCTCATTTCTTTAAGGGCAGCCTGAAACTCCTGATTTCTGCTACTGAGCTGCTTTTGAAGTAGTCCTATGATAACCTCTTCCCCATCTTTGACCCTGAAGAAGAAACTGAAATGCTCTTTCTGATCTAACGATCAGGTGCAATTGATGTGTGTGTACTCACGCAGTTACTTTTTTAGAAGCTTTTTTTTAAAAAAAGAAAAATGTTGATATTCTTGAACGTCTTCTGTGAAAAAAATTATTGAAGATACATTGGATAACTTTTGCTTGCAGTTAATATTCCTTTGTGGGATTTTCACAGATATACAGACTACTGTATATTTTTAAAAAGACCACAGATAAACTTTGTCTTTGTGTTCCTGAGAAGTTCCCAGTCATATCTAACTCTAGTTCTCTGTATAAACCAAGGGATCAATTATGTGCCAGAATATGGCTAAGCCTTTCCTTTCTGGCTGCCCACTTCAATTATTGGCTCTGGGTCTACTAGCAATGTTTTTTTGTGCTAGCACTGTGGAAAATGAGAAACAGGAAGACAGAAGGAACCAGGAAAAGGCACCCCGGTGGAATGAAACGAGCAGTCGTCCCTTGCCATCATCCCAGGACTCAGTAAGAACTTTTCATATGCTACTTCCTTCTTACTAACTGGAGGCTTCTTCCACCTCACCTCTTAGTAAAAATTGAAAATTCTTCCTTGATGAAGAATTCCCTTACAATGGATATGGCATAGAAATAGCACTGGAATAGAACATTAGAGAAAACGAAACAGTGCTCAATTATCAAAATGGATTTTGCTTTTAGATGTTGGGTGGTGAACAATTTGCATATAAAAGTATGCGTTTTAATCTATCTTGTCATAGTCATAATTGATTCTTATAGGAATTTATACATATTTACTTGGAAATAAGTTATGTTGAGTGTGATGGAATCTTTGTATTAACACTGCACTGAAAATCGTTGGAAAAAAGGCACTTCAGTTTTGTGCCTGGCTGGTCTTGTTTAGACATTATTAGTTGTAACTAGAAGTTACAGGGGAACAGCTTTTGCTGTTAACAAGACAGCTATGTGGCAGTAACCTGAAATCACCAGACTTCAAACTCAACTCAAAACTAGAAGATACTTGATGTAATTTTTTTCTGACTGTGAGGAAACTGGAGTCATTCTGAAATATGATTCTTTCCTGACTACAACAGTTAGAATTTATGGATCAGGAAATATGAACATGTTTAGGAAAAAAGAAATAGGGAGAGTTTTGTATCAATAGTAAGTCATTCTGAGAATTATAAAAGATAAGATGGTTTAAGGAACCTCACTGAATCTCTATTTATCTGATAAGTTTATTAGGAATATTTTAGACAACCTATTAACAAGAAAATAGAAAAAATCAATTAAAATGTAGATGGAAAGTATCCTCAAAGATGACAGTGGTGTATATGTTTTGAGAGACAAAACACTGCAAAACCCAATCTGATCAATAATTCTTATGGCAGGAACTTGCAGATTCTCTTTTGAATAATGAGAAGCAGCAATTTAAACAGATAATTCATATCAGTCTTCCCCAATTTAGTGACTATTAGGTTTGCTAAATTACAGTTTCCACAATTTTCAGCCATGGCCAACTGGTTAGAAATGTTGAAAAATTATATTCCAACGAACATGAGTATATTACTTTAGAAAAACTAGCCCAGATAGCAAATAATTTTCTAACTCATATCTGGAACAGCAGGTTATAAAGATATTGGTAATTCTCAGTGTTTTTTGAGATATTGTTGTTTTCCCAGGTCGACATTTTGTCATCAACCTGTATAGTTGCTTTAATTTTTTCTTTTTTAAACTTTTTTCTTATTATGCAAAGGAAAATACTCCACAAAAAATTCATAGCTCTGATTCCCGAAATGCTTGGATGCTCCTCATGAACAATGAAGTGAGGAGCAAAAAAATGAATAAAAACAAGTCAAGAAAGATTAAGGTAAGCAATTTTAACCATGCTATCTATGTTTTGATATTCCCTATTTTTGAAGTCCTGTTCCCACAACCTCAGTCTCTAGCTCAGCCAAATCTCCTAACTAGTTCTGGTAACACACAGTCAAAAGTCATCCTTTTTAAAATATAGAGTATTGGTCATTTTTCCTAGAATTGCATAAGCATACGAACCACAAGATTACCACAAGGCTACATTGGTTCCTTCTCTATTAGCCAGACAAACAGAAATAGGTGTGGTTGGGTTACTGCAGCTAATCAGTGTTTAGAGCATGTATTCTGTGCTGGCCAAGTTTGGTAGTGAATTCTAGTTCAATTTCTTCACTTACTCTTCATCTTTTTTCTTGGATAGTTGACTATGATAAATGAGACAATTGACAGGTATTCCACAACAAATCCAAGGAAAGTTACTTAATTGTGTGCCTGACTGTATTGCTCTGTTCCCAACACAGCAGGTTTGACCACAAGAGTATGGATACTTAAGGATTTATTCAAAGCAGTACAAAGAAATGACATAATCACATAACATGAGGCAGCAATCAAAGAATATATAGGAATACTGAAAAATAACCCTAGACAAAGAAAGACCTTGGGCCCCTTCTTCCAGTCAGGGAACCCCAGAGAGATGACAGCAGACAACCCATCCCAGTAAGCTCTGTATCAAAGTTCCATCCCATGGGGGCTATGACTACCTTATATATACTCTGGACCATAATTAAGCATATCTGCTTTTTTTTTTAATCTCCTCTCACTGGATTTTACCAGAACAGCCTGTGAAATATTTAGGATTTGCACTAGTTGATTCGTACGTGGGTGAGGGGTCCAAGAATAATAGTTCAGATATTACAGGTGATATTGTGTTCAATTTGTAACACTGTTCCTTGTCAGAGGGATTACAAAATGTTTTGAGACTGATTAATTAAGAAAGGAACAAACACAAATTAATTAAATGGGTGCCATAGATATGGACAATAGGAGATAAAAGATTTTATTTTTGGACCTGAAGGAGTAGAACCTAATTATTGTGGTGAATTTGGGTTCTAGTTTGGCATTCCAGGCCTGTTAGAGGCTGCAGAGTCAGCACAACCTCGTCCAGATACCAGTACTATTATTCAGGAGAAATTGCTGAGGGAGTTCCAGCTGCTGCTCAAAGGTAGGGAACAAAAATTACTACACTCCAAGCAAATATATTATGGTGCAATTAAATTAAAATATATTGAATGTGAATAAGTTGATTTTATGTGTTGATAGTATGATTGTCTCAATTGACATTCTAGGGATAAACTTTTTAAAATTCCTTTTACAAGGACAAATGATATAATGGAATGGCTAGAGTAGATGGCAGCTGGAGTAAGGAAGCTTTTCATTCATTCATCATTCAGGCTTTTGGAGGCCTAGTCACAATTAATAAAGAGTAGCATGGCTGGTCAGTTACAAGGGGAGTGTGCTATGAATTCCTAGGAATTTTAGAACCCAGAAAAAGACACCAGTGCTCTTATTCTTAAATTGTGAGCTTTGAGCAGGACAAAATTCATAATAGCCTGTGGTTACTATTCTGGGAGTGATGTTTTATTTTTAATCTGATCTCACTAGATGTTGTGAAACTGCAACTCTCTGGTTAGGAAATCTGGCTATTGTAGTTCCAGCATGCCTAAAAGTAACCAGATTGATGAAGACAGTAGAGCATAATAAATTAAGTATATCTCTGAAAAATATCGTAGCCCAAGGTAGCAGAGATCCAAAAGCCTATATAGGCAATACCTTCCTGTGTAGAATTCAACAGGGAGCAGTGAGAGCCCTTCCTCCTTCCAAACTGTAATGATGACATCACTAAAGAACCAGTTTCCCTGAATACAGTGCAGTTGTCTGTATTTTGCATAAGAGGTATCTTTGCATGAATACATACATACATACACATAGTATATCCATCCATCCATCCATCCATCCAGCCATCATAAGTTGGAATCCGGAGAGCACAGGGTTTGAATTGGATTCATGGAAATTCTTGAAAGGCATAGCTCTATTCAGACGCTTTGCTGCAGATAGTCACATTGGCTTTTCAGCAAGGTAACCAGCTTGAGTTGGAGAAGGGAATGACTATATAGATCTCTCCTGGTGTGATGTATGGGAAGCTATTGCCTGAAGAGGGCTTCCATCAGCTTTTGCCTCACAAACAAATTATACTCTGGTAATAAAAAAAAATCAAAAATCAAAATCAAGTCAACCATGTTTTGATAATAAGATATAATGGGGCAAATTTGTTATAAATCTTCGTATTTTTGACTGCTCAGGAATAATTAGGAAGCAAGAAAGGATCAATATGAAAACCACCAGCAAAAAGTGCCAGCATGGAGAAGCTAGAGATGGAAAAGAAGAGAATTTCTTTCCCCAAAATAGAGTCCCACTGATAAAAAGCAGGGAACGAATAGAAGCAGCATTCCACTGCCAGACCCAGAAGAACATTTCAGTGGATCGACGGTCCCTTCAAGAACTTCAACTTTATTATATAGTGAGTAGCAAAAGGAAAGTTGGGTAGCTCTGCTTCTAATGCACAGTTCAAATGAGGCCTTACTTGTTGTCTGGAATGAAAGGATGGTAACAGTCTTAGATCAAATTGCATCTGTGTGGACTCCTTCTGCATGTAGATTCTGGAGAGCCCTGCTTAATTCCCTGGAAAGTGTTCAAGTTTGCTACTCTGAAGAAGTAGAGACAATAATTGAGCTCTAAGTGAGCCCACTTGGGTATTAGATCCATAACCCTCCTGGCTAGTTAAAGCCCCATAGGAGATGATGGATCATTGAATCCAGGCAATGGTAAATGCATCCTTGATAGATAAGGTGGTTTTGCCAATTCTTAGAAGCAATAGATCATCCCCTCCTCAAGAATCAACTGCTGTATCCCATTTTTGTCCTGCCTCCAATTGAGAAAGTGGTCGGCTTCAGAGGAACCTGGAAGAAATTGTCTGGATCCTTTTCAATTGGTTTCAGACCAGAGTATAGTAATGAGATGAAATTAATTGCATTTGTGGATGATATCTAGTGAGGTTGGGATGGTAATGTGGTATCTCCCTGTTCTTTCTTGATCTCTTAGAAGTTTTTATTCAATTGATCATGGTGTCCTTATGGACCAGCTTTGACAGTTGTGGGGGGGACACAAAGTTGTAGTGGTTCTATTTCTCCAGAGCCAGTTCCAGTTGGTATTATTAGGACAGAAAATATCTAGTCCTACATTCCTACTTTGTAGGGTTACTCAGGGCTTTTCACTCTCCACTCTTTTTTAACATCTATATAAATCTGCTGAATGGGTCACCCAAATATATGCAGTTAAGAATCATCAGAATAAAAAAGGTATCTTCATTCTTTCATAACTCCTGCTTCAAGAGCAGGTAGCAATATAGTGAGAAGGGCCTTTGTACAAATCCATCTTGTGTGCCAATTGTAGCCATTCCTGGTTTCAGAAGCTCTGTTCACAGTCACTCAACCTTTGTTCAATAGTCAAAAAACAGATCCGTGAACATCTAGAAACAAAGTTATAATAGTTGCCAGCATAGGTTTAAAATAGAATACAATAGAATAGAACTGGAAGGGACTTTGGAGGTCTTCTAGTCCAGCCCCCTGCTCAAGCAGGAGAACCTATACCATCTCAGACAGGTGATTGTCTAGTCTCTTCTTTAAAATCTCCAGTGATGGAGCGCCCATGATTTCTGGAGGCAAGCTGTTCCACTGGTTGATTGTCCTCACTGTCAGGAAGTTTCTCCTTAATCCCAGGTTGCTTCGCTCTTTGATCAGTTTCCAACCATTGTTTCTCATTTTTCCCTCTGGCTCAAAAACCTGGCTCAAAAACAGTAACTGTGAGAGGGACCTTGGAGTCCTAGTGGACAATCACTTAAATATGAGCCAGCAGTGTGTGTGGCAACAGCCAAAAAAGCTAATACAATCCTTAGTTATATAAACAGTGGGTGCTTCATCACTGGAGGTTTTTAAGAAGAAACTGGACAGTCACTTGTCTGAAATGGTATAGGACAGTGGTGGCGAACGTATGGCACGGTTGCCAGAGGTGGCACTCAGAGCCCTCTCTGTGGGCACACGTGCTGTTGCCCCAGCCATGCCTCCCCCCACGACCCCCTCCTCTCCAGCACTCCCCTGAAGGAGAGTCGCCCTTGAGCGTGGCCCACGCAGAGCAGTGCATCCAAGGACATGGCAGCCAGGCAGCGTAGAGAAGACTCTGCCCTCACACCCCATTGTACATAGTTGATGCTGCAGGGCGCGGGCAGAGGGCGTGACTGCCATAGTGCTGCTGGGCTGCCTGGGTGATCTGCGGCAGGCCCTGGAGGCGGTGAGTGGCCCTGCGGGAGGCAGCACAAGGGATGGAGTGGGGGGCGGGGCCAGTTTTTGGGCACTCGGTCTCTAAAAGGTTCGCCATCACTGGTATAGGATCTCCTGCTTGAGCAGGGAGCTGGACTAGAAGTCCTCCAAGGTCCCTTCCAGCTCTATTTTGATTCTGATTCTGATCTCATCAAGGTATGCCTATGTAGCACTATTGCTCTGTGACCTGCACTGGGTCCCAGAGAGCCTCCGGATGCAATTCAAGTACATCTACAAAGCTTTTCATTACATAGGCCTGGGTTATTTGTGACACCATTTATTTTCAATTATCTTTATAATATTCAACAGCATGCTCCAGACTCCTTCCTTAAAATATTGTTCTCCCATTGTACCCTTCTCTGTCATGGCATCTGCTTTTTGGTATTACAGGTAGTCTTTGACTTATAGCAGTTTGTTTAGTGACTGAAGTTACAACGGCACTTTAAAAAGTGACTTATGACCATTTTTCATACTTATGATTGTTGCAGCATTCCCATGGTCACATGATAAAAATTCAGATGCTTGGCAACTGGTTCATATTTATGACGGTTGCAGTATCCTGGGGTCATGTGATCAGCTTTTGTAACCTTCTGACAAACAAAGTAAATGGGGAAATCAGATTCACTTAACAACCCCTTGTTACTAACTTAACTGCAGTGATTCACTTAACAACTGTGGCAAGAAAGGTCATATAATAGGACAAAGCTCACTTAACAAATGACTTGCTTATAGAAATTTTGAGCTCAATTGTGGTCATAAGTCAAGGACTATCTGTACATACCTCTGAGATGTAGATGGTCCCAAGCCTGTTGACTTTTCATACAACCCTGACATTTTGGGCCAGGTTGCTGGATTAGCCTGTCCATGATGTCTATAACATTAAATGATGGTGGGTTAGCCTTAGTTTATTTATTTATTTCTCAAATGTATATAGCTGCCATCTCACCAATATGCTTGTTGGAAAATTACTGTGGGTAATATCTAGTTTATTTTACACTTAGCACACTTCCCAGTTAGTCCTATCAGATCAGAGCAAGCGCATACTGTACAGAGTTCAGCTAGCAAAAAATATGATTTGATGGTTAGATAGTTTTTACCTCAGTGTTTCTAAATTAAGACAGGGAATCCATGGGCTGCATATTACACCTCCCCCACCCCTTGGTGGGCCCATTAGCACCATAAGATTGCACCTTTAAATTTAGCAGCAAGATTTGGTTTTTTTACCCTTCATGCTAAATGAATAAGTCTTTCCACTGAAAAGAGCTAACTAGTAAAGATTACCTTGCTAAAACTAAAGCAAAAGAAGTCCCCAATTGGAAAAAATCCCCGAAAGCCTTAAATGTCCACTTTGCTGATGGAGAGATTTTTGATTACTAAACTTGTCATTTGACCTGCTTTGGTACATTATTTGCATTTATGTTAATCATTACTGATTTAAAGTCCCATTAATTCCTAAGAATGTTCTCAAAATAAATCTGGGTCCAACCTGCTATGCCCAACCATGGTTATACTAACAAATATATGTTCGCAAATAAGTAATACTTGGTCCCTGTTCTCTGCAACACTCTTTATACAGAACACTCTCCATGCAGAACAAAGAAGCAGAAAAGAATAATATTTTTTTTATGACTCTAGTGGTCTTTGTAATAACTTTTCTCCTTATCTAATTCTCATTATAATATCTTCTCTGTCCTGGACACATAGAAGGGAATTTTCATTAGCCAGTCTCAATGTCTTGTCATTGATTATTTTAGAGGAAAGATCAAATAATGTGGCACAATCAGATGGGACAATTAAGACCAGTGTTTTTCAGACTTTGCAACTTTGAGATGTGTGGACTTCAATTCCCAGAATTTGGCAGCTGGCATGCCAGTAGGGAATTCTGAGAGTTAAAGTCCACACATTTTAAAGTTGTCAAGTTTGAAAAACATGAATTAAGACTATTTTTGGCATGCAACTGCATTTTCTACCAAGAAAGCCCCTATTAACCTCCTGCTTGGGGCCAGTCTAATACGGAACATGCTGTAATTTTCAGGACAGGGTTGTCAAATTTTGTTTGATTTTGATTCCCATCAGATAGCAATGGACTTAACATTGGACATCACAGCTGCCTGATTTATTTGTGCCTGAATGGACTTTGAGTTTTCCATCCCACTTACCTTGTGCTTTTAGTTGACTATTTTGGAATATGTTTAATATTTTGAACTTTGTAAATAAATTTAACTAAATGAAACCTTCTTGTTTCCTTGATACTAGCCTAAGAAAGAAGAGCTGTTCCATCGTGGCCTAGGTTTGAACCTAAACAATGGTCAATATATGGCCCCCGTCAGTGGATATTACATTTTCAGTGCCAGACTGTATGTTGGTAAGTGTTTAACTTGAAATAAATATTGGCTTATTCATTGTACAAGCTAAAAATCAAGAATTGGTAAGTTGTTTTTATTTTACCAAACAACTTTTCTATAAAAACAAACAAACTGTAATTCTGCCCATAGAAGGGTGAAATCTGAGCTCATATGAATTTTTTATAAAATAAGTAATACTAAATCCCAAGGAGATTTAGCATCAGGGAGAAAATTGGCAGTAATGGATGATATACAGATTACTAGCAAAGTCATAGAAACATACATACTTGCTAACTCAGGGATGAAATGGGCTGATCAGTTTGTTTAGATCTCTTAGTGTTCTTTCAGGCAACGAAAGCAGGCGGGAACTACAAAAGTCTAGTTTGTGGATCATGCTATTTGACTCATCTCTGAAATAGTGATGGGCACTGGACTACTGTGTTTCCCCGAAAATAAGACCCAGTCTTATTTTTATTTTTTTGGCCTCCAAGAGGCACCAGATCTTATTTTTTGGGGGGGTGTCTTTTCCACTCACCTCGCAGCAGTGGCACTGACAGCCCCACCCAGCTGGCCCACTACTTCTGCGGCCAAAGGAACTGCTTCATTCTGCAGCTGAGAATGGAGCTCGGCCTGCATTTTGCAGTCAAAAGCCTTTCCGGAAGGCCTCTGCAGCCGGGAACTGAGCTATGGAATCCATAGTATCTATCCATGGGAGGCCTGGCTGCAATGGTAAGCTCCACCCCCTCCCACCTTAGCTTGATTTTTAGACATGTGCCTCGCCCCAAAACTAGGGCTTATTTTCGGGGTAAGTCTTACTTTTGGGAAAACACAGTAATAAGCATATTAAAGCAACGCCCTTAATAATGTCCAGCATCTGGGGTCATTTCCTAGTTACTGGCACTCTTTGCAGCCCAGCCTGATTCTTTCTTACCTTTTGCAGTTCCTCAAATACATCCCACAAAGTACCAGTCACGGGCCCGAGATCGCCTGCGCTTGCTGATCTGTGTCGAGTCACTCTGCCGCCAGAAAAGGTGATTGATTGGGATAGAAATATTTTTGTTTGGAAAGCATCTGTTTTTCGGTTTTGTTGCATCCTGGCCTGCCTATGTATCCCAATATAGGTAATCATTAATTACCTATGTAGTTAATTCACTTAATCTCTTATCTACAGCTAAACAGGTTTATAAAAGAAATGTAGTGGGAAGCAAGATTGGATGTGATTTTTAGAGCAAACTGTTTAATTACAAAGGGGTCACTTTGTGTTCTGGCATCCATTACTAAAGATCCTGTTATCTTACTTTCAGTTCTCTGGAAACAGTCAGCAGTTTGGACAAAGCCAGTGGATATTTCACTATTTCAGTCAGTGGAATTCTCTTTCTGCAGGTGAGTCTTCAGACAGAGAGCAAGCAAGCATGCTAAAAATCTATATGATTTCAGGAATATCCAACTTTTAAGTTGATTTTATTTTAAAGAATACATTTCATGACATGAGGACAATAGAGGCCACACTCTAATAAAAATTACCTATTTTTTCCTCTTCGGAATGTGCTTCCAAAACTAGGTAAAGCCAATTAAATCCAAGGTTTGTGCTCAATTCAATGTCTGAAGTTATTACACATCATATTGGCCATAATGTGGCTTGCCTATATTTGGCTTAGCATGTTAGGTGAAGCTAGTCAATTTAGTTCTTTAACATGCCATAATTAAAACACCATATGATTTAGCACAGATGTGAACCTAGTTACTAACTCTGAACTTCTCTGTTATAGGCTGGCCAATATGCTTCAGTTTTCATAGATAATGCAACGGGATCCTCCTTCATTGTACGAAGTGGGTCAGACTTCAGGGGCGTCCTCTTGGGTATCTAAGTGACCCACAACTGCCTATTTTTAAGCTGAAATCCTGCCTTTAATCAGCTCTAAGCTAAGCTTCTGTCTTTTGGTCAAGTGGAATTGGAAACACTAGAAGGAAGCACAAACCCTTGATTAAACATCCCAAAGTGAAAAATTTGATTGTAGAAAGAGTTCAGCATGTGGCAAAATATTCAAAGGAAGCAAAATCACACATGACATTTGACTGAAGATAATTTATATTTTCCTCTAGCACTAAAAGTTTGAAATTTCACCCTTCAGTTTCCTAGTTTACCTTTGGAGCTGGCTCTCAACCCTACTTTAATCCCAAAAATATACATTACTTGCCGTTCCCTCCACAACAGAATGTTGTAATGTTTGTAAAACATTGGCATTTCCTGAAGATGCTGTCTTATCAGCTCACAGTCTTTCATTAAGGGTATCAAACACTTCTACTACTCTGCATATATGTACTTACAGAAATCCTCCAGTGTTTTAATTTTTGTTCATTTGTATCTTATTTTTCTTCCAAGAGCTCATGATGGTGAACTCTCTCCTCCAATAATTACCCCCATCAATATCTTGGTTGGGTTGATAAGATCATGTCAGGCCTTAAGTCCCATATCTAAACCATTGCCCTACATTAATCAATCTGAAATGACCTTTTATATGGTGCTCTATGGCCCTAACCTGGTGATACTATATACATTATTATCAACCACATTGACATAGATAATTACAATAGTACTGGTTTGATTATAAATGTTGCTAACCCCATAAACTGTTGCCTTACACCTATCAGATTACATTGTTTCAGTGCAGTAAATCCAATGAATGGAGGAAGGGCAGGTGCATTTTGAATTTAATTCCTAATTGTATCAGAGCAAGTTTATAAAGTTATGTGTTCAGGCATCCACCGATTACAATAATGGAACTTTTCTTTCAAAGTAATAGTCTTTATTTTCCCTGTAGCTATCAGAAATGTAGCATGATATCCAACAAAACCAACACAGCACCACCCTCTAGTCCTACACCACCACTGGCACGTAGGCAAATTTTTAAGCCATTTCTCTAATTTATGTATCAGAGAAATGCAGAGGGCACATCCTTATCTATTTCAGCCTGAAAGCTGCTTCTTTAACTGCTGTTCTCTTTTTCATAATCGCTTTCTATAAGCAAATACATAATATTTTTTAGCAAACAAGATTGGGAGTTATAGCAGCAGGCAGACACCAACTCAGTTCAAACACAGGTTGGTTTATAGGCCCACAGTAATCATGTATCAGCAAGTTCTAGTTTAACTCCAGTCAAATATTCAGGAAACTCAAGAATAATGGCATTTTGGGATCTTCCTTTTCCTAAAAACACTCCTAAAAAGTAAAAGCAGATATGACACCCAGAAAAAGGGGGGGGGTTGATACCCAGTTTGCTACATTCAAAAGGATTTTGTTTTGTTTTCCATACAGAGAAATTTCTAATAAGCTACTTGTCTGCTCAGAATTTGAAAATTTGAAAAGAATGCAAGGATTGGAAAGTCAAAATTCAATTTCACTTTTAAAGACCACTAGAGGGCAGAAGCATCTGCACATCATTTAGAATTCTAGGTATCAAACTGAGTAAGCTGAGCAGTTAAATAGCTCTATTTTAGCGAAAGCATATTCTCAGTAAGTTGTGCATCCACCCTTCTAATTCTGGAAATGCTACTGGTTTGATAAGGCCTAGGCAATGCCCTGCCCTGCAGCATAATCGATCATCTGCAAATTGCAGCTTTTTTATATGCTTATGTATTTACTTGTATATCGGAGGGGGGGCATGCACTATAAAGTATATTTTTACAGCAACTATAGTTTGCTATATTAAAAGAAATACTGAATGAACACATGCACCCACTTTTAAATGTGTTTTATTTAGTTACAAAAGGAATATGCCAAACAATGAAGCTGAAGCACAGGAAAAAAATGACTCTTTAGTAGATTTATTATATAAAATAACCATGGAGCTAGTTCTGATACTCAGTAATTTCAACAGAGAGCTTTGTGGATATCAATTTTATGTTTAATTATTTACAGGTACTTTTGAAATTCTACCTGTCTTTACCAGTCAAATGGGTAGGCTTAACTTCAGCTCAGAACACTTGTATATTGAAAAATGTTTGATGTACTTTTAAATTGAAAAAATATTCTTTCCTGGTTTGAATTCCATTTGTTGAACACCTTCTATCAAATAGTTAACAGTATGGCATTACTTGCAAAGGATACTGAAAACTAAACTGAGAACGTAGGGGCTGATTAGCAAATACTTTATTACTTGATAACCTCAGCTGCTGACATCCATGCATGAGCCAAATTATTATTTGTTGAACTGCACCCCAATGTCAGTTAGAAACACAGAAGCTCTGAGTTGGAAGGACCATGCAGCTCATCTAACATTTCATTGCTCAATACAAGAATCCATTAAGTCTTTCTCAATAACCAGCTTAACTAGTTCTTACTTGAAGCCTGAATCTTACATTTAATCCAGCTCACTGATTCTTGTTCTTTCAATGTCAACTGAGAACAGGTCCATCCTGTTTTGTATGTAGCACATTTTAGCTCAGTGGTTCTCAACCTTTTTAATGCCGCGACCCCCAACCGGTCGTAAGTCGAGGACTAAACCGGTCATAAGTCGAGGACTACCCAACCGGTCGTAAGTCGAGGACTTTCCCTGCCGGGAGCGCTGCGCATGCGTGGTTCCGCCCCCTGCGCTGGCCGAGGCATAGCTGGCAAGTGGCAGAAACGGAGGCCGACCACCAGCTGGCCCAGCCCAAGGGAGGTAAGGCACCCGCTGGAAAAGGGGGAAAAAATGGCGGACAGCCTTGCTTGGCGACCCCCGTGAAATGGTCGATCGACCCCAAATGGGGTCGCGACCCATAGGTTGAGAACCGCTGTTTTAGCTGTTTATACGTAGTACAGGCCACTATTGTACCTCCCTTACCTTTCTCTATTGCAAGTTAAATCTGCCCAGTTTCTATAGTTGTTCTTCATGGGGCTCAGTATGCCTCATCCTAGCTTTCCTCTAAATCCACTCTGGCTTCTTCATGTGTTATTTAAGCAGGATGTCCAGAATGGGCATAGGATCCCAAGTGCAGAATACCTGTAATTATTACTTCCCATGAGCTACACAGCTTCATTTAATGCAGCCCAAAATTTACCTGTCCTTTTTTCTGTTTGCTCACACTGAATTGGTGCATTCTATTCCTACTCTCCCAATCTCTTTGCCCCCTAATTTTCCCTTACACTTGTCACCATTATCATCTCACCCATAATAGCTTGATTCTATGCCTATTAATTAAATCATCAGAATAATGGTACTTAGACAGTACATCTAAAGCTGACATATTAGAAGTGGACATCTTTTATGCATCTATAAGAGATGAGAATGGTATTTCACACACAAAAAAGAGAACAGTGCTCTTATAAAGGTTGTCCTCACATATGAATTCATACCTTAAAATTTTTCCTGAATGTTTATGTGCAAATCACAATTTGCATCATAACTGAAAATAAACTATAATTCAATGTTAGCTAGTTCTCTCAAGCTACACTGGCGTGTCAATGCCGACCCATTCTATTTCTCAACTTAAATTCAGACAGAAAAGTCCCACTGATTTCAGTCACTGTAAATATGATCATCTCAATGACAGCCCAATCCTATTCATAAGATAAACTTATTTTGATATACTTTCTTCCAAAACTTCAGCCTAAAGAATCTTAACAATACCATATTGCACTATTCCATGCATTTAAAATCTAATCTAACCACACTGTCTTGCTCAGATTCACTGGAAATTTAGTCTATTTTGCATACAGCTATAAAAAATACTACTTGGAGTAGTATCCATGCAGCCTGAATGGAAAGTTCAGATGACCATATATATATATTAAAATTAATTATTACAGTATTTATGGTCAGGCATTATTAAAATTGGCATTCTTCAAAATTATCACAAAAATCCTTACTCGTTTTTTTTCCACTGGATAAAAAACTAATTTACCAAGGAAACTGGAAAATCTCATTTGCTGGATTTGTTAGTTTTACCCTATTCAACAGAATGAGGAGTATAATCCTCTCTGCATGGCAACCACAAAAATTGTTCCTGTCTCCAAAATATATTCAAGAAACAACCAAGAAGGGATTATAACCCATGCTCAGTTATAACAAGTTGCCAATTAAATATATCAGTGCCCTTTGTGCCTGTCTTTTTTAAACTAGGATACTGGAACCTGAAGCATCTTGTAAGACAGCAAACAATAGGACTATCTGCAGGAAGTTTTGTTAGATTACTGCATGTAGCCCATTCAAGGAGGAAAACAGAAGACTCAATTACTTATAATTTATGAAACAATGAACTGACCTGAATGCTTATAAAAATCCCTTTATTTACAAATAAGCATACGGGGAGAAATCCATAAAATTCTACACACGCGCACATTTCACAAACACACTATTGTGTTCTATTAAATTTGCTGCATGCTGTTATGGATCTTCCTTGCACATATTCGTCCCATCATTGTTCAATCCGGGCCACCACCACAGTGACATTATCTGCTGATCCTCGCTGCACTGCTTTGTTGGCCAGCCTGTTACATGCTGCTTCATACTTTGCTTCAGTGGCAGGTTTGGCATCTCTTGTTGGAACAGTTTTATCCTGCTGAGAAGTAGATCACACAAGTCAGGGTAATTTCCTTTCACTCCAATGAGATAATTTTATATAGTCATGTCTCATGTGACATCTTGAATCTTCATCATACCTCTTGGTTTAGAGGTAATAACCTAGACTTGAACATAGTTATTTGCATATTCTCTTCAACAGAATAGTCTTTTTTTAAAAAAGAGAAATAACCTCATTTCCAGAAATAAATCCCAAAAGGTAACAAAGCAGTATCTTGCCTCGACTCTGATATTACGTACATCAGAATGGATTGAAGTCCATAAAATATTACATATATTAGCCTCTTTATTTTCCCACAAAAATAACCTCACATAATACTCCTGTGTACCTTTTCTGCATTTAAACAGGAAACAAAATCACCCACTCTGCAGTCTCAGTACTGCTGCCCTCTTTAATACAGGACTGTGTTGATATGACAAAATAAACTGGTTATCTAGGATTCCTAATCTGATAGAGAAAGCAACATTTGGGCAATAATCTTGTCACTTAATGGAATAATCAAAGTTTGTTCTGAAGTTGAATGCAAGGATACAGCCTTGCATAGTAGCAAGCAGAAAAGAATAACTACATTGCCTCTCAAACATTGTTTGCAATAATG